CAGAACATGGTCCCCTGAGCGACCCAGTAGAGCGGCCAGAGAGCCCAGTTATCGAGCTTCGCGGCGGCGAAAGCGAAGCCGAGCACGACGATGGCGTCCCTGAGGGTTCGGTATCGGTATTACAGATTTACCGTCGGTAATTACCGATACCGGATTCGGTATACCGACCCACCCATTTTGCATCTCGACCGCCGATACCGCCGGTAAACGGTTCGGTAAACCGGTAAACCGTTTACCGGCATACCGATTCCCACCCCTAATTACCACTGCACCCGAAAATAAAGCATGGGATAGGAGGACGAAGAGGCGGATGGGGTTGGTTTTCGGAGTTTCATATTGAGAAGATGGAAGAAAGGGTTCTTTTCAGGGATTGAGAGGAGGAGGAACGAACAGCAGCAGGAGATGAGTGCCACTCGGGTTTCGGAGCACGGTCTCTCCTTCACTGATTAACGAATTTATAGATTGACTCGTAATTACTTTTACTTTCCCTCCCTTCACATTTACTGAAAATTACACTCCCTACCACTGCCTCGGCCTTGGTAACGCCAGCATTGGTTATGGGCAAAAGCGACTTTCCGAATTCGGCAGTATCTGATTGGGTGACACGCACGCGACGAGGATCGAAGGTATTTCACCATCGGATTAAGGGAAAAGTTTAGGAATTGACGGTGGGAAATGGGGATGTACTTTTATAAATAGTCTGAATTTGTAGATTAACTAACTTTTTCGTTTACCAACATTACTCTATTGATCTGGTTTATGTTATTCTAACTTGAATCATAACCCTAAACCCTAAACCCTAAACCAAATCCTAATACACGAACCAATCAATACCATATACTCTACAACAATAACAACACCTTATAGGCTTATACTGTAACCAATCAATAACATATATACTTTAAACCATCAACACCTTGCTCCTCCCTTATACCATAACCTTCAAGACCTTATACTGTATACCAACAACACCTTCTTCTATCTCCATCCCCAACTTTCAATTTATAATAAGTGTTTCCTTTGAAATATAAAATGGAACCCACCTTGGCAATTGCTAGCATAATTTAGGGATGTAGATGAATAGAAATTGTTAAGTGATGAATTGCTAAAATTGATGATGTGGCGGTAGGGACCTCGTTTAGAAATTGTTGTTCAATTTTAGGGATGAAGATGATCAATACACTAACCCAATACCATATACTCTAAACCATCAACACCTTATACAATATCGTATTTTAGGGATGGAGATGATCAATACACTAACCCAATACCATGTACTCTAAACCATGAACACCTTATACAATATCGTATACCTATACGCTGATAAATTAAAATTATAACTTGCTTTTCAAAACATAAATTAAAAATTGATACTCACTAAGTATCGAACCACAAACCTCTACTTTATTGACTAAGCAAATAACAGACAATTAACCAATTAAGCTACATCACATTGATGACCATCTTGCATAATTTCGCTTTCTTATTAAGTGAAGGGCTAAAATGAACGATAAATATATCACAGGGGATTGTTTCAACTTCGGCGGGGACTGAGAGAGTGGAAAAGGGGTAATTATTCTACCAAAAAGGAAAAGAAAAGGGGGGAATTAACGAAGAGTTAAATTGGACGGATTGTCTTTAGCACGCCACTACCACCCAAAATCCTTCGGAGCAAAGACATGTTGGTTCAAGTCAAAGAATAAATGAAGAAAGATGAAGTTAAGAACTCTAACTAATTTTGATTCCATATGTGGCGAATCGCTAATAGGCGGGATAACCAACATGGCAAAATCGTTGATGAAAACCTACTTTGCACACACCAAATCATTTTATCTCGTACCGATAAATGTGTAAAGAGACACGCTACAATAATTATGTCTAAATTTCCTGATAATAAGGCATGATCAGCATTTATAAGAAGATGTTAAGACAATATAAAATCGAGAAAAATAAAACAACACCTACCCTCAGTCGAATCAATCAATACAATATGCTCTGGACCATCAACAATTCAACACCTTATAAACCATCTCATATACCATATACTCTAAACCATATACCATATACCATATACTCTAAACCATCCCATATACCATACACCATATACCATATACTCTAAACCATCAACAACCTAATACACTAACTAGTCAGTAATCATTAACTTAACCATAAACACCTTATACAATAATCGCATACCTATACGCTGATAAAATTTTACATTTTGAAAATACTTGCCCAAGTAAAGTACACAAGTACTTCAAAAGTGAAATTCTAACTTCCGTTTCAAAACATAAATTTAAAAAATGTCCTCACTAAGTATCCAACCACAAGCCTCTAATTAGTCTACAAGAGGTTTGTTATGTCAAGAGGGGCAAACAGTGAGAGAGTGGAATATGGGCAATTAATAAAGAGTTAAATTGGGCGGATTGTTTTTTACCTCGTACCGATAAATGTGTAAAGAGACACGCTACCATTTACCGAATCCCAAAAAAAAGATGGAACACATAATTGTGTTTAAATTGCGTGAACGCAAGACATGATCAGGATTTAGAAGCAGAAGCAGAAGCAGGCGCAGATGTAAATAAAAGCCCAACCTCTTCACAATCCGGATCATGTACACAAGCCCACTTTTGAAGGGAATTTAAAAGCCCAACTAGACTTTGTCCTAAACGCACCGTTAATACATAAACACAAGTTAAGGCGACCTCTCCATCCGATTCGATTGTGGATACAAGGAAACGATGATTATGTGGATATTTTTGATTCCGGTCGGAAATAAAATGGCGAAGAACAAAACGTCGATTGTGGATACAAGGATTTGTGGTTCAAAATGATGATTATGTGGGGATTTTAGATTGAAAAGGGATCTTCTCTTCGAACGTGGATACATAGATTTGGGGTTCAAAACATGATGATGTTGGGGATTTGATATTGGATTGGAGCTAAATCGAATGTTGATCAAATTATAAAAAGGATTTCAGATTTCAGAAACGATGATAAAAGGATTATGTTCGAACTTCAAACTAAGAGGGGACATCCCCTCCAAGACGAATGAGGGACTAGAAATTGGTTAGGGCGGCGGGTCGTATCCATAGGGTTTAACCTCTTAATCGATATAATTAAACCGGGTACAGTTAGGTTGAAGTCCAATGAAAAACGCTTAAACGCTTCGTGTTGCTTTTGGTAATTTTCCTTACCCCTGGTTACCCGTACCCCGGATTTTGCCCTGGGCACCGTAGAACTGCCCATATATATATATATATATATATATATATATATAAAATTTTGTAGTTATTATTATTATTATTCATAATTCGCAATTGCAACCGTTCGCACGTAACCGTTCACGTATTATGGTCGAACTAGAATTTAAAAGTCGGGGTGTTACATACACATCCGTTCAAAGACACCTAGCATCTCCGGCATGCCCTCTGCAAGCAGAGCAAGGCCTCCAACACCGAGAGTGCTACTCCAAGGCAGCGACGGATGCAGAATTTGAAACTACCAATGTCTTCTTTTCATAATATAAATATAAAAATATATAATTACTAGATATTTGATAAATATAATTAAAACTAATAATATCCAAATAATTCATTCATAGATAAAGAAATAACTTACTAATACAAATGTTGTTTGCATAAATAACCACGACGAGTTTTCATATTCTGAAAGTTATGCAAAATTTAACTTGTTGTCTACACTCTTAAGTAAGTATCTTTCAATGTATCCCACTAAACAATCATTAGCAAATTGATAGTCAATTCGACTTCAAAGTTTGTTCTTAATATAACTAAAACTAAAAATGTTCTTTCTACACTTACAGTTGCAACGGGTAGAACCACAGCTAGTTTTAGAAGCAAATAAACTGATAAATATGAATGATGCACTTTTATCTCTGCTATTACTCTAGATTATTCATCATGAACAAGTTGTTGTCGAATAATATTATCATGAAAGGTACCAATAAATTATTTAGTTTTATTTTTTAATTAATGAACAAGTAAGTGTGATACTTTTCCTCCCCATTCCCCAAAAGTACCCTTGTCTTGTCATAAGGTCCAAGTGGCTCGGCTTCGCCTATGCTCTAAGGATTAAAGCTTTCATTGTGTGGATCGAAGGGCCAAGATCACGTGACTAAGGAGGGTTTTCTTAGTCACATGATTAAGTCAATTTCAACCATTGGACCTCATTAAAATCTAATGATTCAGATTTATCTAGTTTAATGAAAGATAAGATGGTAATTATATTATTTATTTATTTATCAATTAAAACAAAATAAAAAAAACGTCCATTTCCCTCGGCTCTCCAGCCGCCGGTCCGTTTCTGGGAATTCTCCCGCTGGTAGTGGTGGGATTTTTTGTGTGTCCCAAGTGAGATATTTGTGGCCTGCAAAGAGAGCTGGCGGTGGGATTTTTGTGTGTCCCAATCCAAGTGATATTTGGGGAGAGAGATTTTTCGTGACCGGCAAATTTTTCGACTGCGGCGGTGAGAATTTCCGGCGATGGTGGATTTTCCGGCCAGAGCATCTGTTTTGTTATATTTGACGGAAGATTTTGTAATGTTTGTTAGTATGTTTTGTGATTTTGTATTAATTCGGTTTGTATCGTTTATCATTTTGGTTTGTCAATTTTATCTATTATGTTTGTAATGTTTATATGAGAAATTTGTATACATTTTAATTTGTAATGTTTGTTTGTCTAGTTTGTATACTTTGTATTCATTGATTTGTAATACAACTTTACTATTTTGTATTGTTAGTAGTGGCATTTTGTACTGTTAGTATGTTTTGTATTGTTTGTCGGTTTAGTTTGTATTGTTTGTATACTTCGTATGTTTCATATTGTTTGTATGTTTTGTTGCTCTATTTTGTATTGTTCGTATGTTTGTACTGATTGTAAGTCCGGTTTGTATACTTCGTAATTTTCCATAATATCCAAACTACCATTGTCATTAATTAAGTAGCCCTTCCCACCTTTTAACCGTCAAATTAATGTGTCCAGATCTAAGCGCTGGAAAGGGCTTAGTCACTTGACTAAGCACCACCCCATAGTTAAAGAATCCGGACCCGTTGATGGAACCGAGGACCTTGTCCTCCACACCAGCTAGGCTAGCCTTCTTTCGCAGGGAATGGGAAGTTAGCCAAACAGAAACGAGTTTTATCTTGACCATTGACTTTTGACTCTCTCAAAACCCAACTGAAGGTGCAGAGAACAAGAGAAGAAGGTCGGGACGTCAGACGAGGGAGGCAGAGTTTAAAATAAACAGAGAATCGTGGAAACAAATTTTTTAGTATATATAAATGCCGGCAGTTGTTCGTTGGCTCCTATATTTCAAAAACACGAATGCCTTCTCCGATTCGTGTACCAATAGCAATGCTCGCCACGTTCCGCGCGCAGACATCCTTGAAGCCTCACGGCGGCCTGTTCAGACTTCTCCTCTCGACAAATCCGCCGCGGCATTCTGTTCTGCTTTCTCCGTCGTGGGTTCCATCCATTCCGTCCGGTAAGCTCTGTTTCTTCCTTCCTTCCTTGGGTTCTTCCTCCCACCATTTTTGGCCATCTGGGTACTGTTCCATAGGTATCGTCGGAAGCTTAATTTCTTACGATTTGATCAAGCCCGGAAGGGTTTTGTACCACTTCAGCTGATAGTTTGAGAATAGGGTAGTTGGCTATTGTCCATTTCCGGTTTGAATGGGTGAAATTAGGGGTTAGTGGAAAGTTCTTCGTCTTATTACCATGTATAGCCTCTGCAACTACCGTCCAGCGGCCGGCCCCTTTCGTAATTATGACGGAAAACTACTATTTCTTTTGTTGTTGACTTGGTGCATGACAATTGTTGATTTCTTGATACGAATTTCCCTCTCCAGATCCAATTTAGAGAATCCAGCTGGTCTCTCGGTTGTTCTTGAATTGGAAAAAGGAAGTTTCAAGGGGAAGCCTTTTTGATGAATGTTTGCGGAAAACTGAAGAAATAGGGTCTTTTGTTTTTAAGGTAGAACCAACACTACCACGACCAGCAGTGGCAAAGAGAGAGTTTATTCCTCAACAAGAGTACAGAACAAGAACATGTCTTCTTCTTCCGTAAAAAGTGTTGTGGTTCCAACAATGGCTAATGAGGATCGCCACGTTGATGGAGGAGTGAAGGAAGAGATCAAATTGTTAAATGCAACAGAGGATTGGTTTGGGGGAGTGACTGTGGTAGCGAGTGAGCATACGCAAGTTGCGGATTTCATGCCTCGACTGAGACATTCCATCTCCAAATGGAAGGAACAGGTAAAAGTGAAAACGGTTTAGGCTGCAATTCGATTTTTTCAGGTTTAGAGGCTTCAAGCTCTGCAGATTTTGATGGATGTTTTGGGTTTCTTTATAGGGAAGGAGAGGACTTTGGATGAAGTTGCCAATTAACCAGTCTCACCTAGTGGATCCAGTAGTTAAGGTGCTCAAAATCATGAACGGGTTTAAGGTTCATTCTAGGATGGATTTTTGTTCTTAGATTTATGATAACTGGTGTCTGGGATTCCGTTGGTTACAGGAAGGGTTTAGGTTTCACCATGCTGAATCTGATTATGTGATGCTTGTGCGTTGGCTGCCTGAAGACGAACCTGATACTCTCCCAGTCAATGCCTCTCATCGAGTTGGTATTGGGGCACTTGTGCTTAACGAAAACAAAGAGGTAAATATCTTTGTTCTTTATTCAACAGTATTCACCTTCCTAAGATTTAGCTCTATGGAGGGGTTGAAATGTTCGAAGCCCATGGTCCGAAATGGCTTACAAACCCAAGTTTTAATCTCTTGTACCTGATCAGTTTGCCAATGGTCTGCTATGCCTGTGATGTTTGGCTTGCCAGGTATTGGTAGTCATGGAGAAGAATGGAGGTTTCAAAGACACAGGGTACTGGAAGATGCCAACTGGTGTAGTTGATGAGGTAAGAGGCCTGGGGGGAAAATGGTTTGTTTTCAAACCTCTTTTTGGCCTGCGGCAAAGTTCCATGACATGATTTGGTCAAATGATGGCTGAAATATGTGTGTGTTAAAATCTACAGGGCGAAGACATCTATGCAGCTGCAGTAAGAGAAGTGAAAGAAGAAACGGGAGTAAGTAGATTGGAAAGGTGTTCTGCGCTTCTTTCCAATCACATGAAACTTGCTCTTATGCTGATATATCTTCTCTGCGTTTGTCGATCTTTTGTCAATCAGATTGACGCCGAATTTGTCGAAATTTTAGCATTCAGGCAAAGTCACCAGTCGTTCTTCAGCAAATCAGACATGTTTTTTGTCTGTATGATGCGTCCACTTTCTTCAAACATCACTGTTCAGGAATCAGAGATTGCTGCATCTAAGGTGAGTGGTTATTCCAACTTTGTCTAATATGTTTTGTTAACTGAGATCAAGCTACCATCTCAGGAGTTCCATAATATCTAAATGTCGCTAAAATACAAATCATAAAAGAAACGATCACTTCCTCGCATTTCGTCTGATCCCGTGTTACCCAGTCAAGGCTTTATCTACCCACTCTATCCAATCCCTTTCAACTCAAAGCAACCCCGACTCCAGACCTGAGATGTGTAGCCTATCCTTGATTTTGAAATGGTTGGGTTGGTGGGTGCCTAAACTGCTGAATTGGATAATGTGGTTTGTGATCTTAAGTCATCCAAACCAAGGACACATTAGACAGAGTGTGGGCTGATTGTTTTGCCATACATCAATTCAATGAGTTACCTTTCTGCTACAATTTGTACCCTGCAAGGGTCTGATTAAGAACTCCATTTGACCGGCCGGCCTTTTGCAGTGGATGCCGATCGATGAGTATGTTGAACAACCTTACAATAAGAAGCATGGACAGTTCAGGTATGTTGCTGAGATCTGCAAAGCTAGAGCAGAGGGAACATATATTGGTTTCTCTGCGTTGCCAGTCTCATCAGCTTCTGGCAAGGATGTTTACCTCTACTACAACAAGCAGGACTGCAGCGGATGATTGTAGGCACGTCTCTAACTCTGGTCTCGCATCAAATTCATCTATTATATTTAGTGTCGGAACTTTGGCCTCCTCCCAATTATAACATTGTGGAGTAAATCTATGTTGGCAGTTGAAATATTCAATCTTTAAGCTCGCCTATCCCGTTTTAAAACATTTGTAACTTTTTCTTAATGACTTGCCTGTATTCAAAAGGGTTAATAGTCCCTGTGCCTCTATTATTTATGGCCAAATTCACTTGCATAGCCAAAACTTTGACGGTTGTGACAAATATAGCCAATTTTGGAGAAATACCAGAAATAGCCAGATTTTTGAAAGTTCGATGACAAATATAGCCATTTCCGTTACATAGTTTGACGGCGTCAATGACACCGTTAGTCTATTTAACGGACAGTTGATGTGGCTGCCACCTCACCGTGTCTTTCCTTCCCACCTCAGCATCCATTGACAGGTGGGTTGCCACATCACATTAAAAATTTAAATTTTTAACAAATTTTTTTTTAAATTTTTTTTTTTCATATTCTTTCCCCTGATTTCATCTTCACCAACAAAACCTCTCTCCCACTCCTCTGTCTCTTTCTCCCCTCTGGTCCAACCTCTCTCTCTATCTATCTCACTCTTTCATCTTCAACCTCCGACCAGTAAATCCAGAAAATGATGTCTCCTCAAAATGACCCAATTCAAAACCTGGAATCCAACCCTAGGATCTCGCCGATAGAATCGATTCCACTCTGGGCCCTCTCTCGGCTCTACCCATCTTCTTCCTTCTCTGTTGCCGCTAGCGGAGAAGAAGAACCGATTTTATGGGCGAACTTGACTCACCTTCTCTTTCCTCTTGATCCGTCCACGCCTGATTCCATTCTCAACCCCCGCGGCAGCCACAAGCTTAAAGTTGCAGGTGAAACTGCCGTGCCACCGACGATGAACAGATCTCGTCCCGACGGCGAGGTTCCTGTAGCCGAGCGGCTGGCGGGGATCTATTGGCGCTCGATTCTCCTTCGTTGGTGGTGAGGATGAGGAAATGGTGTGCGGAGAGGTGACAGCGGCGGGGATTTGTGTAGGTTTGGTGGCGGCGGGGATAGGGGATTAGGGATTTAATCTCAGCTGTATGCCTTCTCCATTCCGCCCAAAAGAAGACGATCCCTTCGTAGAGTTCTTGTTCGACTCCAACACCCCAGATCCACCTCCCAGTGGAGGAGAACCGAAAGAGAATCGAGTACTAGAAGACATCGGCGGAACCGCCGTCGTCGCCGCTGCAGCTACGCCGGTCCTTCTTGGGACAGCTCGCCGGAACCCAATTAGCCTCCCCAGGGACACGCTGTTGTCTTGGAAGAAAGACGTCGTAGACTGCACCAAAAGAAGCACAAATGAAATTACCAGATCAGTGGTAAAATCCAATTCAACCATGAGATAGCACCCATTGACTCGATTCAATTTCAACTTTTAGTACCTCGGTGTCGAGATTTGAGGAAGACAGAGAGGAAAACTGGACGACGGTGGGAGACGACGGCTGGTCTGATTTCTGCTGATCTCCGTCACTCGAAGTCTCAAGTTCATGATTCGCATCCCAAGCGGCCACCCACTCGAGCTCCATGATTGCTCGACGATTCCAATTTTGCTGGCGAAAGGATAGCCGCCACCAACCGTCGTGGAAAGCTTCTTGAAGAAGTGGAAGGTTTCAAAATGGGTAGGGATTGATTTTCAATTATATTTTTATTTGGGTTAGGAAGTTGTGGAGGTTTGAGCACTTAATTGTTTGTTGTTTGGGTTATGGAAGGATTCAATCCTAGTGATTGCAGAAGAGGAAGCTTCTGGTAGGAAGTATTGTTGAAGATGAACAGGCGGTGGTGGTGGGGAGAAAGACATTTATTTTTTATTGTTTTTATGATTTTTTTTTAATTTAATTTGATAACAAATATAAGTATAAAATTTTAATTATTTTCCACCTAACATTATATTTTAATAAAATATGCCATGCCAACCACGGCTGTTAGTCCAGTCAGCATGTTAACTAACACCGTCAAACAATTGGACGGAAGTGGCTATTTTTGGTATTTCGCCAAAAGTGGCTATATTTGGCAAAACCGTCAAAGTTTTGGCTATACAAGTGTATTTGGCCATTATTTATTTACACTTTTATACCCTTCAACTATCAAAGTGTAAAAAATATACCCTTCTGTTACTATTATCCTCAAATGTCTGTTACTAAGGTCAGCAAATAATTATACTACCGGGATAAGATCAGTTTGGGTCCTTTGGTCACATGACTAAGTCAATCTTAGTCCTCCAATCTCATTAAATCTAAAAGTTATAATTAATTCAGTTTAATGAAGGGCAATGTAGTAATTGCATAATTAAATTTGAATTTTCGATTATAAAGGGAATAAAAAATCTCTGGCGTCCCGTCCACCTCCCTTTTGCCGGCCATGAAAATTTACGTCCTTGCCGCCAACCATGGAAATTTCCGACTCCCTTCCGCTGACCATGGAAATTCCCGGCGCGTTTCCGTCTTGGCAAATGCTTTGGCCTTTTTCTGGGAACAATTGTAATTCTCCACCTCAATGTATATATATATATATGGTGGCGTCTTCGGTGCACTCACTTTTTTGGGTGCATTCAGTGCACTCGCTTCATAATCGTCATTTTAAACATGAGATTTATGTCAAAATGATGTCAATCATCACTTATGATGTGATGAACAATAACGCACATGAATTTTCACAAAAACTATGAAAGCTTTGCTTTAATTTGAAGGATTTAGAGTTTAAAGATCTAGGGTTAGGGTTAGGGTTTATAGTTTGGGGTTTAGGGATAGAACTCAAAATTGGAGGTCTAGGGCTTAGGGTAATCCACTAATTAGTTGTTATCATATGTTATATCATCATATTATACTAATTCTACAAATTAAAATTCAAAATCCGACTCCTTAAGACTAGTTTTTGAGTTGGGTGCATTGAACGCACTCATTTTTGTGAGTGCGCCGAAGTAGTCACCTATATGGCAAAGGCTAGCGTACACCTGACGAATGTTGTACGCCTGCGTTCACACTTATTAATTAATTATTAAATTTTTTATTGAATTATAATTAAGTTAATTAATAATAATAAATATGGTTACAATTATATACCTTCATTAATTGCTATGCACGTTTTACTCCCGTATCAATTTTTATCCTACATTCTGCCAAATCAATCCTTTAACTAATAATCGTATAAATTACAGTGCTTTTTTCCCAAATTATAAATTTATAACACCCATACTTATAATGATGCACAACTTCAATTTTTTTGCCACTGATTCAATTTATAACACCAGTATCAATTTTCTTTCTGTCCATTTGTCCTCGTTCTACTGTACTGAAACTGAAAGCATGGTTTCAAGGACTTCACTCAAAGCATCCAAGACGTTAGCTCACCAAATAGAGGACTATGAATCAGCGCCAGTGGTGAAAGGACGAAGAATCAATGGCGGTAACTCCCAACTTCCAAGCTTTCTTCCACTTTTGATTGGCTAGGATTCCCAACGTCCCGGTGAAGAAAGAATTGTGTATGCAATTGTTGGGAAGGAGAATTTAGGCCGATGCATTTATGATTTCCGGGTTTCTGGGAATAGGGGCGAAACCTGTACGTGCAGGTAGGGATGGCAATGAGTCGGATGATGAGAATACAAAAGGGACGAGGATAATACCATCCGAAATAGATACCATGTCTATACTGCTTACTAATTGTTGTAGCTTGCAAACTTATCCATCCAAAACCAAAAGGAGTTCCCAACCGCAAAAGAACCTAGGCAGTCACAGACACTAGTTACTACTTATCACTAAGACACCTACCAATACCAATATACCATTGTTCATCTTTCTCCCGTAGTTTACTACATTGTTTACTACATTGCTTGGCCCTTACTATCTATGAAAAGGGAGGTTAAGGCTAGCAAGTAATCGAGTAAAAAACCCAGTTCAGTATGGAATTAAGCATTTGATCAGGCTTCCTTTTCCCTGAGCTCGCATGGTAGTCTATAGGTGCTTCCTTGGATTGATAACAAATCAGTAAACATTTTAAAAACTGTCGATGTTATAACTCGTGTGCAATACTAATCTCATGATTCCATCGCCTTCAGTGTCAGACATTCTCTTGTACAAGGAATCAATCATTTCAACTTTGGGAGACTGGTTCGTAAAGAATCCCTAGCTATAGTGAGAAATCAAAGGCCAGTGTTAAGAGCTGACCACCTAAAACATTTCATGAAGCAAAGTAGATCAAGAATTCTTTAATGGGAAGGTAAAAAGGTACAAACCGTAGCACTGATGTATAGTTAATTAGTTACACAGTTAAAAGAGGGATACCGCATCTTCTTTATTCTTCTCCATTTACCTTTCTCCTTCGTCACGAGGGATACTGCATCTGGTCTCCATCTGTTATGCCTCTCTGTACGGACGAGAATTTCCCGATTATTCTTTCTCCTTCTCAATCTTCAATTCCCGTAACTGCCATGAAAATCCAGCCGCTATCGTTATCGGTAAATCATAGTTTTTCCATCTTCCCAACCCAAAGCAGGCATACTGGTCTCTTTAGGTTCTAGGGTTTCTGAGCTCAATATCTCGCAGGAAGGAGGCGCTGCAAGGATAGGAGACGCGGAGGAGGGGAAGGGCACGCATGTGAGATCTGACCAGCCTCCTACAGTATGGAGCCTTGAAGAAGATGGACGATGGAAAGAGCTAGGTAGGAGATGAATGTTGGTAAATTAGAATCTTTCTCATATAAGAAAATGAATACAAGGTTGCTGCATTCTCAAAGAATAAATTAAATGAACTTGGATGGATAATGGATTGTTAGTCTGTTACAAATGAGCGATTGGACTATTTCTTTGCAATAAGGAATTTGTTCGTATAAATCATGATTAGCAAAAATTAAGGTGCTATAGTCTCACGGTGGATACTTATATGATTGGGTTAAGCATAATGATGATAAAAAATTTATTTTGGACTAAATCGTATTGGAAATTAAATTAATAGGTGTATTTGTAATTATGATTTCTATTAATTTTTTATTTAATAAAAAATAATAAACAATTGTGAACACAGGTGTATAGCATATACCTGGTGTACGCTAGCCTGAACCATATATATATAGATAGATAGATAGATAGAGAGACTTTTCGGCGACCAGCAACGCTGGAGAAGGATTTCCCGGCGACAGTGCTGGATTTGTGATGTTTGTTGACATATTTTATAATATTTGTAAGTATGATTTGTAATGTTTGCATCGATTCGGTTTGTATTGTTTATCATTCTTGTTTGTCATTTTTGGTGACATTTTGTACGTTTAGTATGTT